GGCAGGATTTGGCACCTACAATAGGCCTGCATTGGCACTTCCAGCCAAGAGGCAGGACAGTTGTGCTGAGGAGACAAAGGCCTGGTTAGCCCACCAGTGCCAGAAGAGAGGGTGTTATCTTTGGGCCCAGGCGCTCTGGCCTGGGGCTCTGGGCTGGCACCATGTGGGTACTACCCCAGCCCCCAAGTCTGCTGAAAGGAGCTGGGCATGGGCAGAGGTGGCAGTCATTCAAATGGATACTGGCCCTGCAAGCAGCAGGGAGGGAAGCCAGGAGGAGGAGCTGTGGCTGGCTTTCTGGTGTTTGTGGCATGACTAGGGACCGAGGTACAACAAGGTACCGAGCTGGGAGTATATTAAAAACCTGGGCATCAAGCTGGTCTCCTTGGAAGTCCCATCTCCTCACCAATCTGTCTACACGCAGCAACCCCCTTTGCCCACCGGTATCTGAGAGCCAAGGATCCCCCCTTGGGTGGGCCTCTTACGTTGCCTGCTCCGGCCTCCTCAGCTTCATTTGTTCTCTTTCCCTCTAAAACAGCTGGGCTTGTGGCCAGAAAAGAGAGCTGGGCTAGGGGCACTGTCCTCAAGGTCAGCTGTCCTTACCAAGGGCTGATAGGAGGGGGAGACCCCCAGGTCATAGTAGGGAGGGTGATGTAGTTCTTCTTCCTGCTGTGGCCACATCCCAGGTTCCAGGTGGAGACTCTGGAAGAGAAAGAGACAGTGCTGCACAGACCTTTGATGACTACTCCAGATTACCCTCTGCCATCCCAGCTTGATTGGGACTCTCCTCCTGGTTCCCAGCCCACCACAATGGCAGCTGTCTGGGAGGCCCTAAGTGCACTGGGGACTTTTAGCTTTGCTGCCTTTACGAGGGACCAGCATAGAACCAAGCACCTTATAGATGTTTAGTGAATGTTTTTTAAATGAATGAAGGGATTGAAAGGCACTGGGTAGGAGAGTCCAATTGTTTGTCACCTTTTGGGAGTGGTCAGGGAAGGACTGGATTTGGCTTTGTGGGAGCTGGTCCATGGATTCCATGGATTTGTGATGGCCTTGTCTTCTGGTTGGCCATCTTCCTTAGGACCATCTGCCATTTTTAATACTGTACCCCCTGAGTCTAGGGATCTTGTTCTCTGGTGCCCAAGGCCCACCTGGATGTCCTCAGGTGTAAGTTGGCTCTGCCTATCAGGAGAAGGCTCCAGCTTCTGGGAGGGAGACAGATCAGTCCTGGGGGAACACAATGAGGGGGAGCTCAGCACAGGGATCACATGTGGTCTCTGCCCAGTCAGGCCTCCTGACTGTTGTTACTGGATTCTGAGCCCTAGTCATGATAATAGACTCTGTTCCCAGGTAGTCCCCTGAGTGGTCAGAGCTTGGGATGTGGTTACTTAGCATGGTGGGTCAGAGGCTGAGGGTGGCCTATCCATCTTTCCCAGGTGTCTTTGCTCCAGCCCAGGCCAGCCTGTCCAGTTTAGGAATCACGGCAGTCTCAGGTTTTTTAGTTCCCAGGGACAGTGGATAATCTAGAGGCTCCCAGGGACAGTGGAAAATCCAGGGTCAGGTACAAAATATGGGGCACCAAAAATCCCATCCATCATGGTAAATAATATTTAATGGAATATTTTCAATGAAAACTAATGCAAAAATCCATGATGAGCAAAATAACATTTTAAGTAAGGACAGGATCAGTAAAAGAGGCACGCTGAGCCACAATGGAGCCTGAGGCAAAAAGAAAAATCAGTAATTCTAATTCTGTCTTTATTTAAAATGTTGATATTTTGTTCATTATGGACTTTTTTATATTCATTTTGATTTTTAAAAAAATGTTGCATTAACCAGGCATTGTGGTGCATGCCTATCATCTCAGCAGGAGGGGTTGTGCCAGGACTTCAAGGCCATGTTGGGTGCTGGTGGCTCACACCTGTAATCCTAGCTACTCAGGAAGCAGAGATCAAGAGGATCGTGGTTTGAAGTCAGCGGGGCAAATAGTGTGCAAGACCAAAAAACCCTTCACAAAAAAAGGACTGTTGGAGTGGCTCAAGATGTAGGCCCTGAGTTCAAACTCAAGTATCACACACACAAAAAAACCAACCAAAACAAAACGAGAGTTCAAGGCCAACCTAGGCTATGTAGCGAAACTCAGCCTCAAAAAAAAAAAATTAAAATATTACTTATGGTTATGACTGAGGTTTTTTGGCTCATCCATAAACTTTGCCTTAGTGCTTCACTTGCCTCTTTGGCCCCCAGCTTGCCCTCACCCCTCGTCAGTAGTGGGAGAAGGTAAAATTGGGCCAGTTATTTAGCCTCTGTGCTGCAGTTTCCTCATCTGTGAATCATGAATTATAATCGTGCACCTACTTCTTCGAGCTGCTGTGAGGCTAAAACGCATCTTTGTGGCATAGTGAAGACACCTAGGGCAGCAGCTTTTCCCCAGCCACACCCTTCTGGGTTTAGCTCTTCCTGCCTGATGCCACCCCTTCCCAGGAGGGTGAGGAAGCACTGGAGGGCTCTGAGCTTCTGCAAGTTCAGGTGTTCAGGGTGCAGGGACCTGTGGGTATAGACAGAGGGATAGGTTTGCCAACACTCACCCGTCAGTGTCCACCCCCTGCTGGCTCTTCTGCTGCCGGCGGTACAGCAAGAAGATGGAGAGAGCCACGCTAAGGATGAGGACCATGGCCACTGTGCCCCCCAGGAGCCTGGCCACACTTCCTGGGCCCCCTTGGGGTATGGGCTTTTCTGGAACCAAGAGACCAAGGATGAGAAATGAGAGAAAGAGAGAGAGAGAGAGGGGGTGGGTGGGAGGAGACTCGCGAGCCAGGGAGTCAGTGAAGTGGGCAGAAAAAGAGAAAAGAGAATCAGATTCTGAGGCAGGAGTACCCCAATCCTTACTGTGCTCCAGTTCTAGGAGGGGCTGGCTGTCCAGTTAGGGGGATGGAGTCTTATCCTCTGACTCTCAGGGCTGAACCACAGACCCTGCTCTGATCTGGGATCTGGGGCATGGTGGTGGGGTGGGGGGACCCAGGATGGGCTGAGAGCACTTAGAGATAGGGTTCTCCTTCCCCTCATCCTATTTCTGGCCTTGCAGGGAAGATCCCTGTTGAGGAGTTTAATTTCCTTCCCCTCCCCACCTAATTAAACAAGCAAATTAACTAATGGAGCTTTGCCCTCCTGGCTCTGGAAAGGATGAGGGCAAGAAGGAAGCTATGAGATTGGATGGGGAAGGGGTACCTGGGGGCTCCCAGGGGAAACTGAGTCTTCAGTTAGGAGAGGCTGAAACCCTACAGGACTATAGCTTAAGGTGCGGGGGCTGAGCCCACCCTCTGTCTGGACCCACTTGACCCTCTGGGAGGAGGAAAGCAGGGTGTGGGTGTTGGGTAGCCCCTCTCAACCTGTTCTATGGCGGGGCAAACACCCAACCTCTCTGGGCCTCAGACAGAAAGGGGCCCAGGAGGTTTGTTAGAGTTTGCAGAGTTTACTTTGCAGTCTGAGTGAGGCCACCAGTCTATCCTGTGGCCAGGGACTTTCTGCCTATCCAGGCTGGGTATGGGAAGCCACCAAGAGTCCCAAGCCTTTTGTGTCCCTCCCTCTGCTAGGTTCCATTTCTTAACTCTGATCTTTCCAGCACCCAAAGAGGAAGGGACTGGGGAGTGAATCACATGTACTCCTTTCTCTGCTTCCTCCCCACCACCATTTATATATAATTAAACATGGAAGGGACCTGAATAGAGATGCTAAATTGCAGTTTGCAATAAACATCATGGAGCCAATTTTCCTAAAGTGGATTGACAAGCATTTCTCTCTCTCTCTCTCTCTCTCTCTCTCTCTCAATGCCCTGAAGGAGGAGGTATCTGGCAGGGACCCAAACACAGCTTGGCTCCCAGGGAATCTGCAGACCCTCTCTGGCCCTAGCCTCTCTCAGCAAAGGCTCTGGTCTTAGCATCCCTCCATCCATCCACAGCCATTGGGCTGTATCCCCATTGGGAGAACAGTATCTACTGGAAGGGCGCTATTGCGAGAATCTGGGCCAGGACTGGGCTGTATGTATTATTGGTTGTTATCCCAGAGACTCAGATACGAACTGTTCTCTCGACCTTGCTCCAGCATTGTGTCTTTTGTTCAAAGACATCTTGGACTGGCATACTACAACTCCTTCTCTAAATCCTGGCATCTTGGCACAAGTGGCGCTCTTCTGTACCTTCCTGCTCTGCTCCTGATACCCTCCTGCTCTGCTTCCCCTTTCAGTTCAGCAGATGTGCACATACAGAGCATTTGCAGTGTCCTGGCTCTGTTCTTGCACACAGAGAGGCAGGAGGCACAGGAGGCATAGGCACTGTGATTGCAGTCTAACTCTGCAATCCAGTTAGACTTGGAGGGGAATAAGGAAAAGATGGGACCCAGAGGACTGCAGTGAGAGCACGAAGATTATGGCAGATTGAGAACAGATGGGGTGCAGAAATGGTCTAGCTAAGTATTGGTGGCTATAATCCTGGCTACTCAGGAGGCAGAGATCAGGAGGATGGTGGGTCAAAGGCAACTTGGGCAAGTAGTTCATAAGACTATCTCAAAAGTACCTGAGATAGGTACACAAAAAGGATGATGGAGTGAATCAAGTTGTAGAGTGTCTGCCTAGCAAGCGTGAGGCCCTGAGTTCAAACCCCAGCATCAAAAAAAAAAGAAAAAGAAAAGAAGAAGAAGAAGAAGAAGAAGGAAGAAGGAAGAAGGAAGAAGGAAGAAGAAGAAGAAGAAGAAGAAGAAGAAGAAGAAGAAGAAGAAGAAGAAGAAGAAGAAGAAGAAGAAGAAAAGGGAGAAGGAGGAGGAGGAGGAGGAGGAGGAGGAGGAGGAGGAAGAGGAGGAGGAGGAGGAAGAGGAGGAGGAGGAGGAAGAAGAAGAAGAAGAAGAAGAAGAGAAGAAAGAAGAAGAAAGAAGAAGAAAGAAGAAGAAAGAAGAAGAAGAAGAAGAAGAAGAAATGGTCTGGTGGTTACAATAAATGCAAGCCAAATGTATTAGAGTTGTCCACAGTCAGCAATCGTGGTCTTGCTGATCTTGCCATTCCTGGACCCAAACCCCTCCATAGCTTCCACGATATTCATGCCCTCCTTCATCATCCCAAAGACTGCACGCTCACCATCTGGGCACTGTTTGTGGGGTTTTTGTTTGCTTGTTTTTTGGTAGGCCTGGGGTTTAAACTCAGGGCTTTTCACTTGCAAAGCAGGAGCTGGAGCGCCTGCTGGACCTCCAGTCCATTTTGCTCTGGTTATTTTGGAGATGAGGTTTTTCAAACTTAAGGTGGCCTGGAACCACAATCCTCCTGATCTCAGCCTCCCGAGTAGCTAGGATTACAGGTGTGAGCCACTGGCGCCTGGCCACTGTTTATATTTTGTCCAGCAATTGCCATGGACAAAATGCCAGGATGCATATACTTCACGATGATGTTGTCATCACCAAATTTGTCTCTGTAGATGGATTTGCAGCCATTGCTGTTGTGGTGTGTGTAGTCACCACCCTGGCACATGAACCCTAGAATAATTCTGTGAAAGCAAGGACCCTTAAAACCAAGTCCTTTCTCTCTAGTGCTCAGAGCATGAAAGTTGTCTGCAAAAAGCATGAAGGTGATGCAGCCCAAGGGCTCACCATCGATGGTAATATGGAAGAACACCGTGAGGTTGACCATGATGCAGGTGGCTATGTGGAGCCACAGAGTCTGCAAAGTGCTCCATAGTCTCCTTCAGTATCTCCTACCTCCTGAACAGTTCCCATCTCCATTGCCACCATGGTCACCTAAGCTACTGCCACAGCCTAACCAGCCTCACTTTCCATATCTGTCCCCTCTGAGCTATTCTCCATGTTGCATCTTAACTGATCTTCCTGAACTACAATTCCCATAAGGCTACTGCCTTACTTACAATCCTCCAAGAACTCATGGTGCTCAGCATGGTTCCCAGGTCAAGGATTTTGAGGCCCCTTAACAACAGGTCTTGGTGGTGGCTGAAGGGCTGCTCTCCCCTGCCTGCCACTCCAGAGTCAGCCTGGGCACTTGCAGCTTTCTCTCTTGCTCAGGGCTCTCTGTGAGGACCTCTCTTCGACCCCTCTCCCAGGCCAACCCAGCCTCCTCCACTGCAGTGGCTCTCCTCCTCCCTGACACCCTCCTATATTGTCTTGTCTATAGATTATGGGTGCCTGTCTAACTAGTTTGGCATGGCCCTTGTATGTGTGGCAGCATGGTCAGATGAGTACTAAAGGGCAGCTCTGGCCTCTGGAATCTCACCTTCCACCAGGAGGTGCTCTCACCCAGAGGCCTCAGTGCTTCAATCTGTTTCCCTGGGCATAACCCAAGGATATCCTGTTCCTGATGGGACCAGCTGAGGCAGACTGGCATTTCCAAGGGGCTGGGTGGGTGGAGCTGTAGGGAAATGAATACATACCCTGTCTGGCTCACAGAATTCCATTTTTCCTCCTACCACAGCCCTCTCAATTTGGTGGACCCCCATGGGGCCTGGGCAGAGGAAGGAAAGATTGTGTCAGGACCAAGGGCTAGTATCTCAGCCCTGCCTTCTTCTGCAGGACCTTTCTCTCTGGGGCTTTTACCCATCACCCGCTCAGGAATTCTGGGACCATTTTAGCAAAGGAGAGAGACAGCTGTCCTAATAAGGAGCCTTACATCATACCATCGTTAAGGCAAAAAAAACCAAACAAACCCAAAAACGTGGCAGATGGGTTTGTGAATGCACTAATGTCAGCATCAGGACAATCAAAGTCCAAAGAGTGTGGGGTGTTCTGGGCAGTGCCTCCAATGAGCCAGTGCCAGGGTGGAAAACTCTGTTTTTCTTTCTCCAAATTGCCCTCTCTTCATGTCCACACCTCTCAAAATTTAAGTTCAACTTCTCTCAGAGCCCCCAGGCCCTGCCTGATTTACTTGGAGGATCTCACCCTGGTGGAGACAAAGGAGAAATGGGGACAAGAAAAGAGAAAGACCTCTCCAACAAAATTAGAGATAAGGGCAGAACAGATTCTGCCTGGAAGCCGGGAGTGGAGGGGGGAGAGAAGAGGTGGGTGGGGGGGGAAGGGTGGGGGGTAGGGGGAGCAATGACCCAAACAATGTATGCACATGTGAATAAATGAATATAAATAAAAAAGAAAAGAAAGAAAAGAGAAAGACGAGGAGGAGAAGACAGTGTGTTAAGTCTGTGACACTGTGCCGGGGCCTTGGCTGATTTGGGGTTTGCTTGATCCTCTTATCAAGCCTGCAAAGATAGATAATGTTATTCCTGATGACCAAAACCTGGCTCAAAAGGTGAAGCAATTTGTTCAAGGTCACCCAACTGATCAGTAGCAGAGTGGGCACTGCAACTGAGATATGTGTGACTTCGCCTGGCATAGGCTGTGGGGGGTTCTTAGAGGACCTCGCCCCTTACTTGGGGTGGGCCTGTCATCCCCAACTTGTCCTTTCGCAGACATGGTCCTACCTCCCCCTGCCTTCAGTGGGGCCCCTGGTTGCTTTGTTTCTGAGTCTCCCCTTGACAGCTGTGAGGAGCGGGCTGGCGCTGGCCCCAGCTGGAGCCCTGGCATCAAGCTCCCAGACGCTCTCTAGTTACACCGTGACCAATCAGTTCCCTCAGTCCCAGCTCCACAGGATTTAGGGCAGGCTCTGTCACCTGCAGGCAGCCGGGCCTGTGTGAGAAGGACCTAGACCAGGGCTGGAGTGCTGGGTCCAGGAGAGCTGGGCACAGCATGTCAAGCGAGGGGCCTCTAGAGAGTATCTACTGTGCACAGGCCCAGTCCATGCAGTTCATGCGGGCTGGCTGTTGTCCCTACTTCCACTGAGAAGGCTCAGAAGATGTCAAAAGTCAGCTGTCTAGATCAAGCCAGACTTTTGAGTCCAGGTTGACTTCTGACTTTTTTGAGATGAGGTCTTGCTGTGTTGGCCAAATTGGTCTTGAAGTCATAGGCTCAGGTGATTCCTCCTTCTCAGCTTACTAAAGGCGTGCATCAGTCCCTTTCTGCATCAGTGGGTCTGGTTCCTCCCAGTTGCCTCAGCCCTGGCCAAGCTCCCAGACGCTCTCTAGTTACACCGTGACCAATCAGTTCCCTCAGTCCCAGCTCCACAGGATTTAGGGCAGGCTCTGTCACCTGCAGGCAGCCGGGCCTGTGTGAGAAGGACCTAGACCAGGGCTGGAGTGCTGGGTCCAGGAGAGCTGGGCACAGCATGTCAAGCGAAGGGCCTCTAGAGAGTATCTACTGTGCACCAGGCCCAGTCCATGCACCAGTTCCATGAGGCTGGCTGTTTGTCCCTACTTCCACTGAGAAGGCTCAGAGATGTCAAAAGTCAGCTGTCTAGAGTCCCACAGCCAGACTTGAGTCCAGGTTGACTTCTGACTTTTTGAGATGAGGTCTTGCTGTGTTGCCCAAATTGGTCTTGAAGTCATAGGCTCAGGTGATCCCTCCTGTCTCAGCCTTTACTACAGGCTGCATCAAGTCCCTTTCTGCATCAGTGGGTCTGGTCTCCTCCCAGTTGCCTCCCTGGAGCTCCCTCTCCGGGCAGGGCCTGCTTTCTATCCTAGTTCAGGCCTCAATGACTTCTTTGAGCCTCTGTTTGTTTCTTGGATCACACAGAGCCTGAGTTCTCATCTGTCATATCATGACAACACACCTGGTTTTCACATCCCTCAGGCTGAGAAAGTTAAATTCACAGTTAGGTGGAAACACTGGTCTGGGTTTGGCTGGAAGGGGCTACAGATCAGGGATAGCCAGGACTTTTGGTTCTTCCAGGAACCAGACCTGCCCAGCTCCCTGAGGGCCTGCCTCAGGGAGACTGAGGAGCTAGGACCACACCCAAGTTCTCCTTCTCTCCCCTCCCCCCAGCCTGACCTCAGGGATCAACAACCCATTTCTGGCTTGCTCACTTGCTTTCCCACTGCCCTTCCTCTAGTTAGACAAAATGCCCTATGCTTCCAGGTGCCAGGTGCTTGGGTTTTGGTTCCTAGCTAGGAAGGGGTCACACACACATAGTAAGTACCTTATTTTGAGATTCAAGCCACAAGAGAAGTCTGCCAAGCCCCAGGATGAGTATAGGGAATGATTAACTCTGGTTGCTAACAGAAGATGGGGCTTCTGGGCAGGGTTTTGAAAGCCTAATAGGAATTTACTAGGAATAGAAAGGTGAAACGCATTCTAGGCAGGGGAAGGAGTGCAGCATGGACTTGTGTATGAAGTGTGGGGTGTATGAAGGAAGGTCTAAGTATTGGGTATGCTTGGGAAATAGGGTGCGCTATTTCCTAGGGAAATAGTCAGGCAGGAGAGTAGGGAAGTCTGGGACAGAGTGTGCTCAGAGGTTTAATGTAACACCTTTCCTGCTGCCCCTGCCTGGGGACGGAGACCCTGTCTTTCTTAGGAGCTGGAATGGCCAGGGTTTCCTTCAGAGTTCCACAGGGCAGCTAGTAGGCCCTCTGTCAGGAAAGTGTCCTGGTGGGTATCCGCCTGTGAGACAGACAGGCTCTACACCACAGGGCATAGGTTGGAGCTGCTTTGGTGGGTTGGGGAAGAAGAGGGAACCCACCTGTAGGAGGCTGGGGGTTTGGGCTTGGGGTAGGCTTGGCTGCAGAAAGGGCTGAGTTTACTGCCCAGGGACATCCCATGGGTCAGAGTCCACCTGACCAACTTCTCCAGTCCAGGTGTGCAGGATTGGCCTTGGTTCTGCTGGCCAGAGGGGAGACCTGGAGGGAGGGCTCTCTGGGTCAACTCTCCTCTGTCAGACGGTCTGAGGGCAGGCATAGTCCAACAGTTGCAGGTCTCCAGGTCTCCAAGTGCCAGGTAGAGGCAGGCCTCTTCAAGACTTGCTTTAATGTCATTATTTTATTTATTTGGTAGGACTAGGGTTTGAAGTTAGGGCTTTGTGCTTGCAAATACTTGAGCCATACTGCCAGTTCATTTTGCTCTGGTTATTATTACTATTAGTACTACTTTTTGGCAGCACTGGGAGTTTCTCTGGGTCTCAGGCTTGCTAGGCACACTCTTTACCACTTGAGCCACTCTGCCAGCCCTTGTTTTGTGCTGGGATTTTTCGAGATAGGGTCTCACAAAGTATTTGACCAGGGTGACTCCTCTTGATCACTGCCTCCCAAGTAGCTAGGATTACGGGCATAAACCACCAATGCCTGGCTGCTCTGGTTATTTTGGAGATGGTATCTTGTGAACTATTTGTCAGGATTAGGCTCAAACTGCTATCCTCCCCATCTCAGCCTCCTAAGGAGCTAGGATTGTAGGCATGAGCCAGGGCACAGGACTTGATGTCATTATTTAATGTCACTGTGAGAATGTGGGACCTCTTGCCCATAGGATAGGAAGCTACATCAACAGTGAGGATGGAGCCAGGTGATGTCTCAGGACATCAGGACTTCTGATGTCCTTCATGCTCACCGACCAGCACTGCTTGCAGGCCTGTGGCCTTGACATCCAGAATGAACTCCTCAGCCTGCCTCTATGGCCCTGGGTTGATTCCTCCTAGCCTGGCCCCACGCCACTTCCCACACGTGCCTGGCTGTGTGTTTCTGCTTGTTCAGGCTTTCTCCATCTCTGTCTCTGTTCAGAATGGATACCACCCTGCACGCCTGCCTATACAAGACAGGAGGTGATTCCTTCAGGTGTTAACCTCTGACCCAGGGTGGTGCAGGAGCT